ATTTGAGAAGCGCTGCTCTAAATATCTTCAAATTGCAACTCCCCCACATACTTCCTATCCCATTTCCTTGCTTATTTTTTTTAATCCTTCACACCCGTCACTATATAACAAGCGACACACTCCATGCTCGAATCTTGCTTATCGGCCACCTGCCACATGAGAATGCAAACTCCAGGATGATAAGCATATGTGTCTACATGCTCGGCACAGAACAGGGCATATTTGCTGCATCAATAAATGACAGCACTCCATGCGAGAGCAGATCTAACCGAACAACCTATAACCAACCAGAACGATAAGGATGAAGTGAATGAACAATGATTTTATTTTATTTAAAAAAAAATTTTTTTTAAGATTTTATTTATTTATTTGAGAGAGAGAGGAGAGATAGAGAGCATGAGGGAGGAGGGTCAGAGGGAGAAGCAGACTCCCCGCCGAGCAGGGGGACCGATGCGGGACTCGATCCCGGGACTCCAGGATCATGACCCGAGCCGAAGGCAGTTGTTCAACCAACTGAGCCACCCAGGTGCCCCAAAAATGATTTTATTTTAAAGAACATTGTGCGGATTCCTACTGTCTGCTTAAGCAACCGGTAGGTGAATGCATGGTTGCCTAACAGCCAGACTTCTTAGTATAATCCTAAAGGGCCTAGAGGAAAGCCTAATATTGATCTAATTTTTGTTTTTGATAACCAGATTTTTATAACCCTTAAAAACTCGGCTGGTAGATGTGATGGTTAGTCTTGTATGTCAACTCGGGAAGGCTATGGTACTCAGTTATTTAATCAAACACTTATCTAGGTGTTGCTGCGCTGGTATTTTGTAGATGTGGTTAACATCTATAATCGGCTGACTTTAAGTAAAGAGATTATTATCCTCAATAATGTAAAGCAATTCCTTAAAATCAGTCTTTCTCACACATGCACACACACACACACACACGCACACACACACACACACTATTGATTGTTTCTCGAGAGAACCCGCCCTAACAGATAATATACAAGTAGGTAATAAATATCTGTAATAATAAATAAGACAAATGGCTTTAATCTTATGTAGAGGGGCGCCTGGGTGGCTCAGTTGGTTAAGCGACTGCCTTCGGCTCAGGTCATGATCCTGGAGTCCCGGGATCGAGTCCCGCATCGGGCTCCCTCCTCGGCGGGGAGTCTGCTTCTCCCTCTGCCCCTCCCCCCTCTCGTGTACGCGTGCTCTCTCTCTCTCTCTCTCTCTCTCTCTCTCATTCTCGCTCTCTCAAAATATATAATAAATAAATCTTTAAAAAAAAAAATCTTATGTAGAAAAAAGAAGTCTTTGGGATTGCACACTTTCTGTAAGAATGGAAGGGGCAGCAAAATGGGTGAAAGGGAGTCTAAAGGTACAAGTTTCCACTTATAAATCAATCAGTCATGGGGCTCTAATGCACAGCATGGTGGCTATAGTTAATAATCCTGGGCTGTATATTTTGAAGGTTGCTAAGACAATAGATCTTAAAAAGTTCTCAACACAAGAAAAAAATGTGTAATTATGTATGTTGACAGATGTTAACTAGACTTTCTGTGGTGTTCATTTTCCAATATATACAAAGATAGAATCATTATGTTGAACACCTGAAACTAATATATTATAGGTCAATTATACCTTGATAAAATTTTTTTAATAAAAAATAAAGTATACTATATTTAAAAAAAAAGAATGAAAGCACTGATGTATATTTCTGGGTCAGTTGAAAACTCTTCAGGAAACTCTCAGACTCTACTTAAAGAACCACAAATTTGATGCAGGTTGTAACTTGACCACAAATGGCAAGTTTTAATCCGCTTACCTGAAAGCCCTTCAAAATGATCCTCAACAGTTTCATTTTAAAAATTAGGCAAATTCTGTGACTTAGAGCAATTTAATCCAACTCAGTTCAATGAAGACGTGGCTTTTCGTACCTTCAAGTATGCTCCAGTCTGTACCTATTAGCTTTGTTAAATCCATTCTCAACCTCTTGATGCTTTTAGATAACTCCCTTAGCTCCAGCTCTGACCTTTCCCCAAATCCATTGTCACAGTACCTTCGGGATATTTCCATTTGGGTATCTCCCTATCAGACTACTATACACTTGACAAGCACCATCACGAGTTCATTACCTCCGGGGCTGAACTCTGCCCCCCTTTATCTCTGTCACCTGTTAGGGAGTTGCCTTACACTCCTTTCTCCCCCTTTATTTATCATACCCAACTGGTCAACACATTTCTTTATAAATACTTATTTTAAATGTAAATCAGATTCCCTTTCAGTTTCATTTATATGGTGTCAACTTACCTACTCCCTCCCCCCCACCTACTGATAACCGAAGATAAGGCAGAGGTAGGAAGCCTTTTCCCCAAAATCTGTTTTAACAACTGATACAGAGATATGAATAAAGTCAATTTGAAATGACAGCACATTAAAATAGAACTTAATTAAAGGCCACCAAAGGAAAAAGAACCAAGCTAAAAGGAAGGCTAGAAATGTCATAGATCTATCTTTGGTGGCCCAGTTTTATTCCAAAAGAAATATAGATAAGAAATAATACCCATTCCTGGGTTTTTCGTTTGTGGAATGACTTTAAAGGAAATAGAAATTATGTGTTGGGGCTTTATCATGGGCTACTTTTACATTTTTTAAATACTCATAAAAATTCCATTTTTCACCCTATTTTACAAATGAAGAAACAATCAAAGAGATTAAGCAACGTGGTGGTCACACAGCGGGTCAGTGGCAGGGCTGAATTTCAAATCCTGCTCTCTCAAGCCCACTGTTTCTATAATTTATAGAGTGCTACATACATATTCATTCAATGTATTTTTGCCATTATTAATAACTTGCTTGACTCAAAATAGGTTTATAAACAGAAATCAGCATCAACAAATGAGTTCAACAAGTCTGGAAATTAGCTTCAATATGGGATAACATAGAGAGACTTCATTTGCATTTCTTCATTTTTCCAATTTAAGGTCAATGGAAGAGAACAATTCATTTAGGAAGTATAAATGGTGTTAACAGCACTCACCATCTCCAGTGCAGAAGGAACTCCAGTTAACATTTTATAAAGTGGAAGGGGCCCAAGTAAATTTGCCAAAAGGAGGAATATGGAAATTCTGCCCACAGCCAGAACAATGGACACAGATTTGTCAAAACAAAGAACAGTAAAGTGAGGAAAGGCCATTCGTCCAGCCCTAGTTGTGCTACTTCATGACTATTTTTCCAGTTGCTCATTTCCTATTCAAACTCTAACAAAGAAAAAGATTAAACAAAAGATTTAACTTTTTACACATTTATATTATCCTTTAGCAGAGTCAAAAACACCGCAAACAGTAAGTTATAGCCTTCAACATCCAAACCAGGGAAAACAATCCCCAATCAGGTAACAAACTCCAATATCAAAGTCACCCAATTCAGTTCTACAAAAGGAACCTTCAAGACTTGATGGCCACTGTGCATCTTTGGTGCAACTTTAAAGTTTTAATGCTCATACAGACTAAATTTACCCATAGTTATCAGGAGGTTATTACCGCACTGAACTAATCAATATGTATTTGGCTTCTTCCATCTTGACCTTGGGATTTATGTCAATGAGCTACATCTGGACAGCTGGGAAACAACATCAGTAATCAGTCAGGAGGTCAGTTAGGCTGGAGTTTAAAGTACAAAGCTGAAACAACAGGCCTTGGAAATACAGCCACAAAATAATGCCCAGGGCACTCTCTATTTAAACACTTGTGTGGGCTGCATTTTTCTTCCTTGGATCATACCCTGCTTTTGAGTGGTGCTTCTCGGTTACTAGTCTCTAGGAGTCAAGGACCACCTAAGTCCTCTGAAAACCATTTTGTGCCCTTGCATTTATAATACGGTCTTTTTTCCCTGGTAAACCAAAAGCACTTACTAGCCATTGCGGTATTGCCCTGGTGCTTCATCAAACTATAGTTAAACGGTCAGCCAAAGAAGACATTAAGTGGGCTTCCGCTCTATGCAACTCCCCCCCTCCGCCCACCCCAACACGCACACACTCGGTCGCACACCCATGCAGCCACGGAAAGAAAACTTCTGCGTAAACAGAGAACACGAATCCACAGATCCAACTCCCATTACTAGTTACTCAAGCACAAATTAAGGACGTGCCAATTTTATATAGGGATTTTGTTTTTAAACTCTTTTAAGAAACTAATTTTTATCTATACTTTCCATCGATTCAGGGAAGCGCTGCGTAAAACAGGTAGTCTACAACCTCCTGTCACTTCGTGGTGGGATTTTAAAGGACTACACTCAAGGGCTCGGTGCTAACGTTCAATTCCCAGCCCCAACCTGGCGGGTACTTAAACTCCTACGACCACAGAGTCACTTGGACGTTCCAATTTGCGTTGATCTTTGAGGGGCCTGAGTGTTTGTATTAGGAAAGGGAGGTGGGGGTGGAAGGCCAGTTTGCACAGATCTTTGTTTGCTCAAGGGGCTAGCCTCAGTGGGCGTTCTGGAACACGTGCAGAGCGCCGGCAAAACAAAACCGACCTGGGGTGCGGGGGGAGGGGTGGGGGAGGGAAGCACCTTCGGATTAACAGAGCTCAGCGGGATAACTGCTCTGCAGGAGCCCACTGCCTTGTGCCCAAGCGGGTGCTGGCTGTCCAGACAAGAGCACCCCCCCCCGCTGGGGAGTCCTGGCTCCTGGCGGGTCCCGCGCCTGGGAACCCCATCCCTGAGCTCTACACCTGGGCTTCGGGAGCAAGTGACGACGGGCATGGGGGGGGGCGGAGGGGCGGGAGGTGCTGCAGGGCCCGCTTGTTGCTGTTTTCACCTCCTGAAATCCTGTGTCACCTTCCGACCGGTCATTTTCCCCGTGGCCTGGACTCGACGGGTCCGGGTGTCTCCCTGCAATAGCTCCATTCAGGCGCTGGCTTCTGAAATCCCCCCTGCCCTCGGCTCCCCCAACCTCGCCCTCCCCAGAAGTGGGCGCGCAAGCCGAGCTTCCCTGGCACTTACACGTGGCCACAGCGGGTCCGGACGGGCTGGTGCAACACCTCGAGGCACACGGAACAGTCGAAGGACGTGACGGGCAGCTCGGGGTCCCCCTTGCGCTCCAGGGCCCGCGGGGCGGCCGAGGCGGGGGCGGATTTGCCGCTATCGCTGCTCAGCACAGAGCCCATCGCTGCGCCTCTCGCCCAGACAGCTGCCAAGGGCTCAGCGCCTGCTGCCGGGTTGTTTTGTTGTCCTGCGGTAGAGGGAGGAAGGAAGTCCCGGCCCAGCTGTGCTCGCCGCCTCCCCGCGCGCCCAGCTAGAGCAACCTAGCAGCAGGCTCAGCCGCGGCGCCCAACCTCCGTCTAGGGCAGACGAGTGCGTGGCAGCGCCTGGAATTGGCTTTCGCGTGGAGACGTGCCGGCGGACGCGGCCGCCGCACGGTGCGCGCTGCGACAGCCCGGGCTCCTGGGAGGATTGAAACCTGAAACCTCAACTGCGGAGCAGAGGACCTGGGCCCGCTGTGAGCCTTCCGGGCTCTCGCAGGCAGCCTCCTTACCCATTCTTGCATGTTCGAGAGAGTGTGGGTCTGGTGGTGCTTTATGCGAACCAGAACGCCTTTGTAAGGTGATGGTCCTGTCTGCCCTGCACTGTTGTAATCATAATAGGCAACAAAGACGATCTATGACTGAGCGTGTCCTAAGACAGTGCTAACCAGGACTCCAGTCATGGAGTCAATACTCCATTAATGGAGAGGTAGCATGGGGCGGTGGAAAGGGTTCTGGAGAGCCGGATTTCCTGGGCTCAGGGTCCCCTGCTGTTGATCATACTCCCTGCCCCATTCTCTTTTAGACATGACCAAATATATCGTTTTGTAAGTTACACATGTGGGGCTCCTGGGTGGCTCAGTCGGTTAAGGGTCAGCCTTCTGCTTGGGCATGCTCTCCGGGTCCTGGGATCAAGCCCCCACATCAGGCGCCCTGCTCAGCGGGGAGCCTGCTTCTCCCTCTCCCTCTGCCCCTCTCCCTCTGCTTGTGCGCTCTCTCTCTCTCTCAAATAAATAAATAAATAAATAAATAAATAAATAAATAAATAAAATCTTTTAAAAAAAAAGTCACACATTTAATAAGATTTCTTTAGTGCCAACTGCATGCCAGTGATGGGAACACAGTTCCTGACAAGGAGACAAAATCCCAGTTCTCACAGAACTTACTTTATAAAAACAAAACCAAAAGCATTTATTTTGAGATAATTACAGATTCACATGCTTATCATTTATACATAACACATAGTAATATATGATCCACACTATACATCAAGCAATAATACATGTAATACATAATAGTCCCATAAACTTTACCCAGTTTCCCCCAAAGTTTACTTTTAATGAGAAGATATAAGTAACCAACAGATAAATAAATGAACAAGATCATTTCAGATGATAAGAGCCATGAAGAAGGTAAAACAGGGACTGAGGATGGGAGTGGGGATGATAAGAAGGTCAGAGAAGACTTTTTGGATAAGGCAACATTTGAGTAGTCATGAATAATGAAAAGGAGTCAGCCATTCAAAGATGCAGAAAAAAGCTTGCCAAGCACTGGGACCAGTGAGTGAGCAAGGAACAAAGAACAGAAAGAAGCCATGTGGAGACAGAGCACAGGGGCCCAGCAGGGTAGAACGGGGTCCCTTAAGATAGGGCCCGATTATATTCAGTCTCATAGGCCAGGACCAAGAGTTTGGATTTTATTTCAAAACCATGATTTCATTTACTATGACTGTTTTGTGGTTTCAAAAAGCTAAGAACAAAATAAGAATGGAAGCAGAGAAACCAATCAGAGGAGACTAAGTTAGCCCAAGTGAGGATGGTAATGACTCAAACCAGGGAGTTATCTGGGTTTGGGATACATTTATGAGATTTGGGATACATTTATGAGAATGACCCAAAGGGACTTGCAAATGAATGGGATATAGAGGTGAAGGAAAGAGAGCCATCCCTATCTTTAAAGATTTTATTTACTTGAGAAAGAGGGAGAGTGCATGCTCTAGTGGGGGCGGATGGGGGAACAGAAGGGGAGGGGTAGGGACAAGCCAACTCCTCGCTCAGTGCAGAGTCCAACAGAGGGCTCTATCTCACCACCCTGAGATCATGACCTGAGCCAAAAGCAAGAGTTGGACGCCTGACCGACTGAGCCCCCCAGGTGCCCCTGTTTTTCTTTTATAGGGATGATGGGGTACCTGGGGGGGCTCAGTCAGTCAGGTGTCCAACTCTTGCTTTCGGCTCAGGTCATGATCTCAGGGTCATGAGATGGAGCTCCACATTGGGCTCCATGCTGGGTATGGAGCCTGCTTAAGATTCTCTTCCCCTCTGCCCCTCTCCCACACTCATGTGTACACACGCTCACATGAGATCTCTTTCCCTATAAAATAAATAAAATCTTAAAAAAAAAAGAAAAAGAAACCCTTCCCTTGATTCCACATGTCCCTCAGCTCCTGCCCTACATCCTCTTGAAGGCCAAATTTCTTGACCTGCTTCTCCACCAGGTGTGTCTCCATTTCTTAATTATCCTCTCTTTATCCAGTTCAACCTGGGGTCTGAACCGACCACTCCACTTCCATCTGTCTAAAAGTTGCTTCATTACCAGTGTCACCAGTGGCCTTCATGTAGCTAAATCCAATAGAATCTTTTTAGTCTTTTTCTTCCATGACCTTTCAACTACATTTGTCGGTATAGAGCACTCCCTCCTTGGAGAAACTCTTTGGCTTTCCCTCTTTCTTTCTGGCTGTTCTTCCCCATCTCCTTCGCTGGCCTCTTCTTCTCCATGGAAAAGCTAAGTGCTGGAAGTCCTAGGATTCTGTCTTAGGACCTTTTCTCATTCCTTGCTCCCTCCCTAAGAATCTCAAAACACATAGCTTCTATTACCATCTTGGTTCCAAAGACTTCCAAGTCTTTATCTCTACCTGGGCCACTCAAATACCCAACCACTTACTTGACATTACCACCTGATTGCTTCAGGCACCTTCAGTTCAACCTGTCCAATAATGAACTCATGATAGTAAATTACCCCCTGTTCTACTTCCAGTTGTTTATCCCTCTCTTAGTAAATGGCTCTACAATCTAGCTGGTAGCTCAATCCAGATGCCTGGGCGCCATCTCGAGTTCTTCCCCTTCCTCATTCACACTGAATCAACGACAATCACAATCACAATTCTGCCTCCAGTGTATCTCTCAGTAGCTCTTGAATGGGTTCATTTTTCTCTATCCCCATGGCCAGCACATATTTTAAATCATTGCATTCTTTTTGTGGCCTGTTGCAGTAGTTTCTACCTGTTACTCCTGCTACACCTGCTTCCACTCTTGCCATTGTCCAATCTATTAAGCACATTGCAACTAAAGTGATCTATTGAAAAGCAAAATTCATCCCATGCTTAAAGTTTTTAATGGTTCTCCATAACCCTTAAAATTAAATTCCAGATCTTTAATAGGATCTACAAAGTCCTGCGCGATCTTTCTCTTTCAATAAATATAATAAATTAAGATGCCTTTGGTGGTAGGGAATTTCAACTAAAACTGCCTGAATCAATAAGGATATTATCTAAGGTAAGCTAGTCCAGAGGTGAGCACTTCCAGAATTGGCTCAGTAGTTCAGTGATGTCCTCAGGTGTCCAGCCTCTTGCTATCCCCGGTGTCTCAACACTGCCTTCCTCAGGGCAGAAAAATGGCAAGAGCAGTTCCAACGATCACATCTACACAAAACAATCTCCAAGACCAGAAAGGAAAGATGGAGATTCTCCTTCTACCTCTGTCCTTTTATATGGGAGGAAAATGTTTCCTAGAGGCCTTCTTTTGCAGATTTCCCCTTATATCTCACTGATCCAGATAGGGTCCCATGACCATCCTTAAACCAATCACTAGCAAAAGACTGAAGTACTATCTGAACAATACAACTGGGGGTTCTTTTACCAAGAAAGATGAGGATAAGGCAATTGGATAGGCTGACAATAAGGATTCCCCGAATAACCATTTTTGACCCCATCTGCTATCACTCTCTCCCTTATTTTCCCTGGTCCTAAATTTCTCTACTTCTTTCAATTCCTTGAGTAACTAAGTTCTCTCTGACCTCAGGGCCTTTACACATGCTTTTTTGCTCTGCCTGAACACTTCCTGCCAATACCCACCACTCTCAACTTCCTCTAAGTTAAAGTTCAGGTCTTAAGTTTGGTGACTGTCTATACCACATCCATCTCATATTATCTCCTTGATTTTCTCATTGCCTGCTGCATTTGCCTTCCTATTTATCTTGCTGGAGACTACTTCATGAGTTAGAGATAATGGATGTAAAGTACCTGACATGTAGGAGATGAGACATATATTTATATATGTAATTCAATACTAATCTTGCAAGGTAGATATTATTGTTCCCATTTTATAAGCTCAGAGAATTTAACTTAGCAAAGGCCACATAGCAAATAAGTGGCAAAACAATGTTTTAATCCTAGATCTCCTTTTATTTTAAAATTCATGTGCTTGTGGTATCTGGGTAGCTCAGTCGGTTAAGCATCCCACTCTTGCTTTTGGCTCAGGTCGGGACCTCAGGGTGGTGGGATCCAGCTCCATGTCAGCCTCCCTGCTCAGCGGGGAGTCTGCTCTTCTCCCTCTCATTCTGCTCCTGCCCCCTGCTTGCACTGATGCACTTGTGAACTCTCTCTCTTCCTATCTAAAATAAATGAGTATATCTTTTAAAAAATAAAAAATAAAATAAAATAAAATAAATAAAATAAAATCCATGTGCTTTTCACTAAGGAGTTTGTGTAGAGATAAGAAGCACTAAGAATCTTAGAAAAGAATAAGACAAAATTAAGGAAAATGGAATATGGGAGGCTAGGTAAAAATGAAACATCTGATATTATTCATAAAGGTCTTAATAAACTTATGAAGGTGACAATAATGATGATGATGATGGTATCAGCCAGAAATAAATTCACAATTCAGATTCTAGGTCCTAGATAGCATCAGTATAGATTAGTATAAAGGAAATTTCAAAGCCTTATGATCAACATCTCTGATATCACATGGAGCGGGAAGAAATACTTTTACTATATGATCTTTTGCACATTTTGACATTTGTACTGTGTGTATCCATTGCGATAGATAAAAATTAGCAATTTTACATACATATGTCCTTTAATTCAACAATTATACTCTTTGAACCAATGTGTGGACAAACATGTGCACAAGAAGGCATAATCAGGAATGTTCTTTGTAGCATTGTCTATAACACCAAAAATTTGCAACCAACAAAATTTCCATTCATAGAGGAATGATTAAATATATTGTAGTCCACACATGCTGTGG